CTCTGTATTTGGGGTGTCTCTCTCTGTTTTTGGGTTCTCACAGCCCCGTTTCGGGGCGTCCCCCCCCCGTTTTCAGCCCGCTGGTGCTGGGGAACCTGTGGGACGTCACGGACCGGGACCTGGACCGGCTGGCGCAGGCGCTGCTGCGGGGCTGGCTGGGGGGCGGCCCCGGGACCCCCCTGCTGGCCCAGCTGGCCCAGGCCCGCCAAGCCCCCCGCCTCAAATCCCTCATTGGGGCCGCCCCCGTGGCCTACGGGCTCCCGGTCAGCCTCTGCTGAGGGGGGGCACGCTTTGGGGGGGGGGGACCTTGGTGCTTTTGGGGTTCCTCCGTGGCTTGGAGTGAAGGTTTGGGGTTCCCCCACTGCCTGGAGTGAGAGTTTGGGGTCCCTTTGGCATCTTTGGGGTCCCTTTGGCATCTTTGGGGTCCCTTTGGGGTTCCCCCACTGCCTGGAGTGAGAGTTTGGGGTCCCTTTGGGGTCCCTTTGGCATCTTTGGGGTCCCTTTGGGGTTCCCCCACTGCCTGGAGTGAGAGTTTGGGGTCCCTTTGGCATCTTTGGGGTCCCCCCATTGCCCCGAGGTGCCCTGGAGTGAAGGTTTGGGGTCCCCCCATCATCTTTGGGGTCCCTCCCATTGCCCAGGGGTGGCCTTGGGTGAAATTTTGGGGTCCTTTTGTCACCTTTGGGGTCCCTTTGGCATCTTCAGGGGTCCCCCCATTGCCTGGAGTGAAGGTTTGGGGTCCCCCCATCATCTTTGGGGTCCCCCCATTGCCCAGGGTGTGCCCTGGGGTGAAGGTTTGGGGTCCCCCCATTGCCTGGACTAAAGATTTGGGGTCCCTCTGGCATTTTTGGGGGGACTCCGGTTGTTTTTGGGGTCCCCCCGTTATTTATAGGGGAGAACTGGGGGTCCCCCCATCACTTTGGGAATCTACTTGTGGCCCTTGGGGCCCCCATTTGTCACTTTTGGGGTCCCCCCCATTACCTCTGGTGACACTTTTGGGGCTCCCACCCCTGCGGGGATTTTTGGGGTGTCTAAAGGAGAGGGGAGGGTTGGAAATGCCTTAATTTTAATGAAATTTTAACAAAATTTTTAACGCAATTTTGTTTTATTCGCCTGTTTTGCAACAATAAAGCTGCTGCCTCTGCACTGACCTCTCCTGAGTCTTTCTGGGATCCCCCAAATTTCTCCTGGACGCCCCAAAACTCCCTCCGAACCCCTCTTTTCCTTGGGGGGGGGGGGGAAAACT